TGTTGGGAGAAGGGCGGGATATAAATCAAATAAAATAAAAATAAATAAATAAATAAATAAATATACTATACCATTTTAATATATTCTTGTTTTGGCCTCATGTTTTGTCCATGCCATGCCATGCCATATCTCCCCCCCTCTCCCATTCTTCCTAGCAGAAATCGTCTAGCAAATAAGTATTCCTAGACTTTCTTGCTTGCATTGCTCATTTGAGATCTCTATACACATTTTCAGTTTGGGGGCACTTCTAGCAGACATTTTTCTTGGTTTTCCAGACGTGCTATGTAATTTTCATTTCTCAACAGTAATTTACACCATTGTAATTGGTAGCTGACAGATTTAAAGATCTTATAAATATATCCTTCACCTGTTTTGCAAGAGTAAGCTACCTTAATTATAAAATGCTCAGACAGCTGACGTTTGAAGGCAGACATAACAAAAAAACATAACCTGAACTGTTAGAAAGGTTGGAATATTTGTTTCCCTGTGGAATTTTTTTTCCTACTAAGTGCGGGCTTAATAAGTCAATCGCCTTTCTTCCTTGTTAACAACTTTGCAGTGAAGAAAAACAAACAAAAGAAAAGTCTGAATCTTTTAGAAGTGTGTCCGAACATTTTCATATTCACTGTTTCCTAATTCAACTGCACATAAATAATAGGTATACATTCAATTTTCAGAGAGACATCATGACTGACAGGGTCCTTCTTGGAACATGTGAAAGAGCTGAATAGGATGGAGAAACCAGAGGCACGAGCAGGTTGTCTCCATCTATCATAAGCTTAATCAAGATGTTCCAAAGGAAGGGGCCATCTGCTACGGGGAAGCCACATGGCACCTGGGCTGCCACAATCAAGTGAGCAGAGGGAAAAGAAAAGGCAAACAACTGTTATAGAAGGCAGAAGGAAGAAGTGCTCAGAGTGCAGCCACAGGCATAGGTAACCTGAGTCCCAAATCTCCTATACATGTTTTGTTAAATATAGTTTCTCTATCTAATGTTTTATGCTGAAATAAAACAGGTACAAATAAAAAGAACCACCTGTATGTAAGATGCAACTTCAGTTAATTTAAGGAGCATCAATAACTAATCATCTAAACTGGGATGAGAACTTAATTTCCATTGGACTGCATAAAATCGAACAAGCTGTGTTGTTGTGATACTTCAGAGCACTCGGAGATTATACCATTTAACAGGCAATATTAAAAACATTTTCTCCCTGAAATGAAAGGCTAAAAAAGGTGAATTAAATTCCACTAAGATTAACTCTTTATCTTTTAAACAATCCCAGTTTATAAGAAATATAGGGAATCTGATCATCTTTTTGATGATCTGAATGCATCATTAACATACCATTTAAAACCTTAAGAGACTTGCCACAAATTCCATAATTCTAATCGAAAATCAACTTGACACCCAATCACTTTATATTAGTTATCCCATAGGTTTGAATATCATAAATGGATGAGGTAGGGTGCAGATACTACCATCTGGCCTCATCTTTGCTGGCAGCCAAACTAAGGTTAATATAGTTACGGGCTTTACAAGAATCCCCAGTTCTGTCATACTAGTGCTTAACCAATGCAATGCAGTGCTTAAGGTATTGGCCAGGACTTGAAAGACTGAAATTCAATCTTTGAAAGCTTACTGAATGATAATGGCCCAGTCACTACATTTTATCACCACTAATAACACAGATCTTTTGTTGTGGAGAAAAATTGAAGATGGTAATGTTAGATATAAGTTACTTCACTGTTGGAGAAAAGGCAGAATACAAACCTAATAATGAAATGTACAAAATATTAAGAGCTTCTATAAGGCAATTCTCTCTTTTTTTCTTTAAAGAATTACCATGCTTAATATACAATGGTTGAACTAATCTTAGCCATAAAATTGCATATTTTGCCCAACTTCTTGTTCTTTGAAATTCCTTTTTCATCTGATATTTGGAGAATGTTCCCTATAGACATCAAAAGAAAAACCCAAATTTTTCCAAAGCTGTGATCATTTTACTTTTAGGGAAACCGGTTGCAATGTATCATATAAATGTAGACATTTTACTGTTCTTTGAAGAAGTTCTGTGATATTGTTTGAATAAATGGATATTTATCTGATTTGAATGCAAGCTATTTACTCTATTTACATGACAAAAGAAGCCAAAATGGGTAATAAATATCTATATATACAAGAGCAATGGGAATAAATAATATTGTATATTACATATGTATTGATTGTATGCCATCAGGTCCAAATGACCACATAGATACATCTAATAGCATTAGCCACTTCATCTGTTGTTCAAGTTAAAAAGTTCACATATTAATAATTAATAACACTTACTTTTTAAAAAAACCCACACAGTTAGAAAATATATCTCTCGACTGTTAATTATAAATATGTGGCTTTTAAACTTGAGCAAAAATGAAATGGTTAACCACACAGATGTGTGTGGTTAAAGACTAATGATTAATTATTTGGTAATAACTATAAGGCATTCAAAATCATACACACACTCACATCCACACCCACACTCTTTCAATAAGCATTATGTCTTCTGATAGAAGAGACGAACTAAAATAGAACTCCAAGGCTTAAGTTTTCCTTTAAGAACATGTTTATTGGCTAATTGGCCCGGTCAAAAGGGAAACCAAAACTAAAGTTCCCTCCAAAAAGTTACAGTATTACAAAGTTAAACTTCCCACCCCATGCAATCAACTACGTTTCCGAATTGAATAGTTTGGCAGGCTTTCTAACATTAGGCTCAGCCCCCAATCTAATGAACAGAAATGACCTTGGTTACCATGGGACAGAATTGTTTAGGCTAGCACAAAAATGATACCATCCTCCTCCCAGTCTGGTGGCAACCGAAAACAAGCCAAAATGGCTTCATTCAGGTTCTTTGCAGAGTTGACACACTATTTGTATTAGCAGGCTAATATGGGCAATGAAATCATCATGTATAGCTTGCTTTATTTTCCTTAGATAGATTTGGCAGATTGGTTTGACTCATACCAGTTCTGCATTATAAATCTATTCCAATCAAAAATAATAGAAAGACAAAGAACAAAAATAAATAAATATATTCATCTATTTTTTTTACACATGCATACTGGTTTCTAGCCTGATGCCTTAACCAATACACAAATTGGCTCTCAGGATAGTTGATGCTAAAATATTTAGCCCACAAATGAAGTGAAAAAAAGAAGTAATTTTTTTGGACATCTCTAGTATTAATTACTTTTTAATGAATAGAAAAGACATGCAACATGAAGCACATTTAAGCTGCATACATGGTGTGTGATCCATAATCAATCAGTATATATATTGGTACTAAGATAAAAACTCAAAATTTATATATCTTCCCCCCCCCCTTCCATTCAGTTGTACATGATTGTCAGAGAGTACCTAAACAAGTCCCTGCAGTTTTCTTGGCAAGATTTTTCTAAAATAACTTTCCATTGCCTTTTTCCAAAGGCTGAGAGAAAGTGACTGGCCCATGGTCACCCAGCTGACTTTGCGCCTAAGACAGGACTAGAACTCACCCATTTCCCATGTTGATAAAGATTGTCAGTCATCCAGGTAGAATTGTCTGGAAGTTGAGTCATGGAAACTCAATTCAAAAAAAAAAAAAGAAAGGGAAGGGAAGGGAAGGGAAGGGAAGAGAAGAGAAGAGAAGAGAAGAGAAGAGAAGAGAAGAGAAGAGAAGAGAAGAGAAGAGGAGTCCTATTGCGATGACTCAACTTCTAGTCACTGTCTTCCAGTTTCTACTATTATGCCTTAACCGCTACACTAACTCCCAAAATGTGTATGTTCTGATGCAAAGGTTCATTCTTACATTTGTTGCATATATAAAATGATATCAACTTTTGACAGCATCCATGCATAGGTAGCTAAAAGTCAATAAAGACTACATAAAGCTTATTGCTGTGGAATGTTATTAGGATTGTGTGAGGTGGGTGAGATTTGCTTCAAAGTGACACTTCATTTTGCAAAGGCAATGCTTTTTACATAGTTTAGGTAAAGAATGAACACAATTTGCTTCAAGTCAACAAGCACTCTTTGGTCTGAACTTTTAGTAAATCAAACAGTTTTTTGGGGGACGACGGAGATTCTCTTCAGCACATAAAAATTAGACATGCAGAGAAGATACCAGCTATTTTAAATGCCAGAGAAAACTTCAGAGATGACCTCAAAGTAGAGTGAATCATTTTATTATTAAAATTAAGAGGCCATATTATTTCATGAAGTTTCTTATTAACTTTTGTTGAAGCCATTCATTCCCCCCCCCCAAGATTTATACAGCCCTAAAAGTTGTAGAAGGGAGATAAAAGTAACATACTATCTATAGTATGTTTTTACTAGCTAAAGTAATTGTTTCACTTTTTCTGCAGTGAAGTAATAATGAAGATATTTTTTCTCAAAGAACGTATGCCACCATAAAAGAAAGGCTTATCAGTTATGCTTAAGCATCTTTAAGTTACTGTTAAATGCAAAAATAAGCACATAAAAATGTTTTGTAGAATAAACTTAACACTATAAAGATACACATACTTACCAGCGATAACTGCTACAATTACTGAACAAAGTGACTTCGCTTGACTTATATACTGCTTTATTAATTTTTAAGTATTATTTTTAAATAATAATTACACTTACCTCCAATTCTGGCATTAAATGCAATTCCTACTATACAATGTGAGTTATTTGCTGTAGCTGCCACTTCTCCAGCACAACGGGTTCCATGCCTATAGGAAGGAAAATATTTTAAATTAAGTGAAATTAATGCAAACAGAAGCATTTTTAAAATATTTTTAACAATTCAAACATGAAGTAAGCTAAATTTACTTCAAGAAAGTGACTTGCACTGTGGGGATGAAATAATTCACTTTGATGAAGTAAAGCAATGATTCAGTTTGCCTCACTGGAACAATTCTGGTGGCCTTCAACTTGACCTCTTCAGGCCAGTGCTGCAACTTCCAATGTCCGAAAGGTGCTTTTTCAAGAGGCAACTGGACTTTCTTTATTTTCCTTGAAGATGGTTCGCTTCTCATCCACAGTTCAGAACTGAAGAAGCTTCTTGGATGAGAAGCAAAGCATCTTCAAGGAAAAACAAAGCCTCTTGAAAAAGCCCCTTTGGGACAACCATGATCTGGATGACTGAGAATCTCTATGGATTATCTTCCAAGGCTTTCCAAGGCTAGGTTGGGCATCATTCAGAGTCTGGAAGCACTTTAGGATTCATTGAAGAAGGTTTCTCTCACATTTCTTTGGTAGTGTGAACTCTGCAGGAAAAGCTGGATTTGGGTTCTGAAGAAGTCAGATGTAGTTACTTTACTTTGCTCTTAGAATAGCTGGTTCTTAAGGACTTCTTTAGAAAAATGTCTTTCTTTCTTCAGGAATCAAGACTAGACTAATGATCAGGTGTCACTGCAGGCATATTAATGCCAAATAAGACAACTGAACAGCACTGATTTATAGAAAAGCATCTTAAAATATAATCGGAATCTATATATGATCATATTTTAATCCATAAATGTTTGTTTAAATGTAGCAGAAACACAACATAAGAATTGGGAACATAACACTGAGAATTGATGAGGTAAAGAATCATTATCAAGCAATTTAAGAAATTGCTTTTGTGCAGTTCAGGTGGTAATTAAAGCCCACAGATATTCTGTAAAAATGCTTTAGTTTAAGGTATAAGGCTGTGCAATAGCTTTAATACCTTTTTGTCACACATGAAGAAAATTCTGGTGGCTGGAAATGAATTAAGAGCCACATCTTGTTGACTATGTGATCTACTTTTATTTTTGTAAAGCTAGATTTGTACAAGTAAAGCACCCATAAACTTAGAACTATACAGAGACGTAAAGAATAGGACAGGCTGCCCAGTTATTATTGGCTGGCAACATTATAACAATACAGTTACCTAGTAACTATCTGCTGTGTGAACATAACTCTTCTTTGAACTTTTAGTAAAACAAAACTGGACAATCATATGTGCCATTCTTGTAATGTTTGGTGATGGATTGTGGATAAAATTTTAAATATTTCGAATGGTAGTATTTTTTTTGTCTTAAAATATATTTTAGTCCAATGTATTTATTTTGCTTATTTAGTTCCCCCTTTATTTATTAGTATAAACATAAATGGAAGAAATAGCAGATGTATATTGAAATGGAATGATGGCATTAAAAAAAAATGGATCTGAAAAACATAGGGAGTATACAAAATTTGCATACTTTCCTCATAAAATTAGTTATATTAATTTTGTAGCTATGCCTCATCACCAGTTAAAATTAATGTAATATAGAATTATAAATCTATTATTAATGTATCCAAATAGTAAATAAAATCACTTTTTCTACATGAAAAAATATGTAGAAACAATCAATGCAATCTTTTTGTAATAATAAAATAAAACTCTGCGCATTTCAAATGCACATTTCAAATGTGCATAATCAAAACTTTGAGCCTGTACCGTACTAAAGCAAGCTGGAGAACTCAAATCTCAAAGGCTATCAAAAGGATATTTAAATGGATATTTAAAAGGATATTTAAACTTTAGAAAGTAATTAGTCCTTTTGTTTGTTTACATTTTGTAGGAATTTAGATTATACCGTAGAGTACCAATAAACTAGTTCTTGAAGTATTGGGAAAAGACATTATCTAGGCTTCTTTTAAAGAAATGTAATTATCCTGAAAGAGGATAATAAATAATAATAATATAAAATCAAATCTGACATATGTGTTCATCCATAAATCTCAACATAGTAATGGCATTCTCAATACAGAATTCTAATCTCTTTTCAATGTATATATACAAACATGCGTACACTTATAACAATTTCCTCACAGGATATTATTGTTGTTTCAATGCTGCTCACCGTATTCTATCCCTCATATTATTTTTCCTGAGATTTACACTGAATATCTCTTTCTTCTTCCACAATCTTTCCTCAATTGCAGTTCTACAGCTTCTGATGTCTGACACTCCACTGTCTTTTGAAAGTTAAAACAAAACAAAACAAAATACAGCTTTATTCAATTTCTCTCTGTCCCTGAAATTTGCTAGCGAGTTTAAGCCTCTTCAACATACAGGGAACCTCAGCTGAGAAATCAGAAATGAAAATGAAGAGCAAAAATGAATGTAATAATGAAAGAGTAGATTGTAGAGGCAAGAATTTCCTATTAGATAAATCAGAAAACTAGTGGTTTTGTTGGCAATATAAATAAAGCTCATAATGATGTGATAAACTTAGTCAATAGCAAAGATCAATATTTTCTTATGCTGATGTGATTATTTTTCAATTTTTTTCTGCAATAAAGGTATTCCCACATAATATACTAAACAAAACACTAAAATGTGATGCTTTTTATGCTGTGCAAATTAATGCTGGCAAAACGAAGTCACAAATGTTCACGTTATTAGCCATTTACCCCAAGTACGTCAGCAATGTTTGTGCAGCTGTGTTGAAAGAATTTCAAGGGATTATATGTTATTTTCTTCTGTCCTCTCTGCTCATCTACTGATCCACCTGCTGCTTTGGATGATAACTTCCTTAGAAGTAGCAACAACTCACAATAAAAAGAATATGCCTTTATTTATGGTTTATGAAAAAGATACCATAATATAGTAATAAAATTATTTCAAACAAGATTGAAATGAAAAAATTGGGTATGTATGTTCAAAGTAGAAGTGTTGCTAATGATGAACAGATAAAAATGTTCTGTAATTGGATACTAATATTTTAAAGTTGCTAAATATTCATTTTCCTATTCTGAATCCAGCATTCATGCTGAATTCTGGTTACATTTCTTTCGCTAAATAGAAGAAGAAAGAGATAAAATGTTTTATTTACAAATGTACTGTAAACAGACTGACCAAGCTTAGTTAAGGGAACCATAAAAAGTACACATTTCTCTAAAATTGCATAATGAATAAACAGACATACCAAACTGTTGTTTTTAATTCTCTACGCATACTTTTCCACATTCAATAGTAATAAAGCAATCTTAGCCTCCCACAATGACACATTGTGGGAACAGTTAAGTACACATTAAAGTCCACTGTCATTATTGATAAAATAAAGAGAGTGGAGCAATGGCTAGTTTCAGACGATGCTTCAACACAGCTGATTTTTGTTGTTATTTAATAGGCAAGAATAATGTAACAACTGCTAAGTGAATTAAAAGCTTTGAGTGAATTACAGTTCACTCTATGCAGGAAAAATATATAACAGAATCCAACTAAATTGCATGCATATAATCTTTCCAATGCTTTTTCAAAAGAAGGAAAAAAAGTCATGTATTGCAGTCATCTGCATCAGTGAAAAGAGATCTTTCTCATCTCTGGAACTGACCTTAATATTTTATAAAATAGGTTTATTGGTTCCAAGATCAAGAGTTTTTGGTTTTTCTGTTACAAGATGCAAGAGTAAAGTATAGGGAAAGTGTTCCTTTTTTCCAAATTCTGAACTTCTCATTTATTGAGCAGCTTTAACGGTGCTATAAAACTTTGTTTCAGGATATATGGCGCTGTATCACTTTATGTGGTGTGCATATATTTCACATCTTGTTACAGATTCCATTTGTTTTTCTAATAGAGTTTTAGAATTTTAATGGCTGTTACTTTGGATGAAAAATGAACCAATTCACATTATGGGAATAGATTTGATCTATCTCGATTAAAGGAATGCATTATATTAAATGGTTTTTTAATTTTAAAAAAAGTCTAAAAATCAACCGTGAGCTCTCAGAGGCACAAAATGCAAGAGAATGCAATAATAGCTCATGATTGAACTGTTAAAGGCTTCGTGCTCTGTGAGCTTGACTGAACTCCATGCATAGAATGGTCAGGATAGAACTTGGAGTCAATAAATTGAAATCAGATTCATTGGTAAAATTAGATGATTTGTAAAGTGAAAATATGCATCTCTTCTCCAATTATCATTCAAATAACAATACTGAAATAATAAAACAATATGTCAACTTAAATCTACCCAACCCTAAGTATGAATGAAAATGTCCTTGCTGTTTTCCTGGGAAGAAGATACATTAATGTAGCCACATCTCTTTTTCTCAGAAAAAAACTAAAAATAAATTGAATCTATTTCTGATAGTTAAATGTATATTCTGTCATCTTGGAACTTAATTTTAACTCTGGACAAACAAATTTATTTTATCTTTCTTCCATTTACTTTTAAATAGCTTGATCTTTAATCCCATTAAAGTTGATTTCAAAGTTAATCCCACAAGTTGATTTCTTTGTCTCTTTCAGGAACAACTTGAAGAAACTGTTCTTGTAGAAGATCTTAAAATGATGAAATAAAGCATGGTCATTTGGTCCCATCCTTGCATTTAAGTCTCCACTGATTATTATTGATGCTGCTGGATATTTATCTAAACAAGTGAAGATAAAATTTTCTATATGTGCCCAAAGTGAGCATTTATTTTAAAAAGGGGAATCCCAAAGGTGCTTTTTCACGAGGCAACTGGACTTTCTTGTTTTTCTTTGAAGACGTTTCACTTCTCATCCAAGAAGCTTCTTCAACTCTTCAGAGAGCTGAAGAAGCTTCTTGGATGAGAAGCAAAAGGTGTTCAAGGAAAAAAAAATAAGAAAGCCCAATTGCCTCATGAAAAAGCACCTTTGGGATAACTATGACCTGGATGACTGAGAATCTCCATAGATAAAAAGGGGAATATAAACATTAAAAGTAAAATTTCAACTTGATTGGATGAAAGCAAAGAGGCTTTGTGCCATGGCTTCAAAGAAGGCAGTGAAACACATTTAAATTCCAAAGCTGGACCAAGCTGTCACAATACCATCCTCAAGTTTCCTTCCTGCATTAGTTGGGGTGGCCAAAATTAGTTGACCCATTCATCTCAACTTCTGATGCAGCCCAAGTGTCTGAAGGAAAAGGATATCAAATTGTGATAGATAACAAAAGAAAAGGTTGATCTTTTAATGGTGCTGACCAGCCTGCAATATTCCAGGTTAAAAAGGAGATTACATTATCATTTGAAGGCAATCATGTGGCTTGATTTTGCTTTTGGCAAATCAATGATGTAAAATAGTTGTGTTGGGTTGAAAAATCAATGGCAAGCAACCAGGCCTCCTCTAGGGGTTGGTTTATCTCATGCAAATTCTGTAACTGCTCCTGGGAATCTTGCTCTGAGAAATTGAAATCATCACAGTCCAATAGAGTATACATTACAGGGACTTCATTGAATACACTGGGTACAAGATTGATGGTTTTTGCTCTGCATGATTGAATTGGCAAGAAGACTGCCTCCTGATCCCTGCTTAGTAGTTATAGATCTAATTGGATATCTCAGTGTGTAAGAAAATTTCTCATCAGCTATAATGGTGGCTTCGGTTGGCCCCGCAAGATTGCTTAATGGCTCATAAGGATCTAGGGAGCTTTAGTGTGGGCTACGATAACCAGCTATTCCATTCTCTACCAAGAGGGTCAGCAATTTAGTATCAGCAATTGGAGAAACAAGGTCTATCAGTAACTGTGCTATAGCCATTGTAACCAGTAGTCTTCATATTTTCAAACTTATGTAGTACATTATCTTGTTCATCTCCTGGTAAAGAATCAAAAACACTAATGAAGCCAGGTACATCTGGGTATGAAGAGTCTTCATTTAGTAAATCTAACTGACTACAAAAGCCTCGCTTTCTTAAATCTGGAGATGGTGCAGCAGGAATCTTGGAGGCATCTGGGATTGACTTAAAGTGGTTATTTGACATAGCTGAAATAGAGTCAAATAAAAGTTTGATCTTTTCATCACAAAAAGCTCAAAGAAAGATTCAAACAAAGCTAAATCGGCACTCATCTTAAATAACATCAGTGGGAAGGATCCGCTTATAGTTTAAGACATTTGGGAGCCATTCAAGAGCACATAGCTGTATTGGCAATTAAGAAGTTATCCTAGAGACATTACTATTGTTTTCCTAGAATTAGCAGCTGATATTATAACTATCCCCCCCAAAAATGCTGAGTGTGATCTGTTATGTCTGCAATAAATTATCTGAACCAGAAAAAAATACTTCAGCATCTGAAGGAGCTTTTATATATGTGAAGAGCATCTTCTTTGTCTTATCAAGAGTTACAGAGTTATTAGAACAAGCATTTGGGTATTGTGGTATGTGTCAGATTGTTTTACTTTTTCCTTAATTGCTTGCTCTTTCACAGTCCATGTGCCCAAGATACAATGACTAGGTGAATCAGTTATATCAGTTTTGATAGGCGTAAAAAGTCCAGTTTCATGCTTTTGAATATATATATATCACCTTTTGCCATGTCCAGTTAGTATTTTATGGTAGAGAGTTGCTCAAATATCAAAATCACAAATGAACTGTGAACAACATATTTTGCCATAAACTCTGTTGAGTTTTCCCAAGAGACCCTCTCCCTCTTCTGATTTCATTTTTTTTTTGTCTTTTAAGCTTATTTTCAATTCCTCTGAGGCTGGTAGAATTAGTTGCAATGGTGACACAAAATGAGAGCCCACGAAGGACCTGACTCCTATTTAGTTCATCCCTGTCAGATAAGAACAGCTTTGACAGTTGTTGTTGTTGTTTTCAGTTCTGTTTGAAGATCCTATTCAAGTGTATAAAATTTGTTTAAAGGAACATTTGTTTTACTTACAGATCCTTTTCATGCAAAGTGTTCTTCTGTCTTTTGGTTGTTTAGCTGACATCAATAAAGGGGGAGTGTCTGGGCTGGTGACATGTCATTTCTTTCTTTTTTCCATATCGTTCAGGTCCACAACAAGTCCTTTATCTGTCCCTTTACCTTAACATTTGTCCCACCCCAAACAATTTAAGAAAAAGTTCCATTAAAAGTGCTAAAAAAACTAATAATATAATTAAGCAGGCAGGAACTGAAAAATTGTTATTGGACTAATAGTTCCATCCATCCCCAACCTCAGTAGTTTAACATGTGCCCTTTGTAAATTCAAGATAAGAAGGCTTTCCAAATTATTGTTCTGATTTATTATTGTATGTTCTTTTTAGTTACTAAGACATCAGTTGGTTTCAAATGTAAAGCCATTGTGGCACTTTTTTTCATATCACTTTTAGAGTCTGGGATTTTTTAAAAAAAATCTATTTACAAATCCACATTCAAATCAGTCTTAGTCTTTTTTATCCAATAAAATCTATTTGTCTTCTACATCCTCTGTTAAATCCATGCCTATAGTATCAGACAATCCTGTAAGTAATTTCTCAGCATATTGTTCCCAAACAGCCTTAACTTCTTCTATAGACAAATAGTACTTCTCCATTGTATCAACGAGTCTCTTCTCCTTCAATTGTAATCCTTAGTTTTCTCTGATTTCCTTTCATCAACCTTCAAAGTCCCCTCTTATCATGTTTATCTTCTGATCAGCAAAAACTTTCCCATGGGAGGATTTCTTACAGTTAATTTCAAAATTTTCACATAGTCTTTTATAAAATTTTAAGTACTCCTCATAAAATATTATTTCAAGTGCATCTAGCCTTTTTATTTAGTCTTTAACCTTCCGGTCCCTCTTGTTTTCCAAAAATTACGAAGTTTTTTTCTTTTTAATCCTTAAGCTTATATAAATTTCTTTCATCCAGGATAAAAAGAAGTTATCCCTGTATGATGAAACTTGCCCTTCAGAAGGTTCTTAATATTCAATAAATCAATAGCAAGCACCTTCCTAAGTAGGTAAGAGAAGAAGTAGCCGAATGAAGGATCTGATTTGAAAGTACTGAACCATGACTTAGGCAAGTTAATTTTCCCAAATCCTCCAGAGATTGCTATTTTGTGATCTCGGTATAGTCAAACTCTGTATGGAGCAAACTTGTTGATGATCCTAGTCCTCTCCTCCACATGGGGGGCACTTGATTAGTTTTCCAGCACTTCTTATTGCAGCAATCATCTACCATTGTTTCCCTGGAAGCCGACATGTGTTCATTATCAAAATAATCTGTGGTTAGGATATTTCAAGAGTAAAGAAATATTTCTGATACTGATGTCTAGCAACCTATCAGGGGCTGGGGTTGTGTTACAGGCAGTTAAAACTTGCCAGAAATTGTACTAAATACTAACGTTACCGAAACAGGTAAGAATACGATCATTTTCTAGACTAAGTTCAATCATTATAAATTACCTGTATACAGTATATGCATGCAATTTATATCCCACCATTTGTTCAGGACTTCAAAATAGCACAAATAGTGCGTCATTTTTCTACTTTATCCGCAAAAAAATTGTGAAGTAGGTTGGGATGAGAATGAAAGAAACATAAATGTGAATTTCCCTATTGCCAGTCCAACAGTATTTTTTATAAGTTTGCATTCATCACAACAGGAAGCTGATACAATTTGCTACTTATTAAAAAGATAGAATTTGGAGAAAGAAGGATTAGTCTATAATTTAAGTCATGTCTATCACCACATATATTAAGTTAGCTAAACTGAGATAATACAACACAAGCATGCAGATATTGGGCATCCATTAATATTTTGATGATTTAAATTTTATGACATAAATTTTAAATTTTATGTCATAAGCTTATATTAATATCTGAAGCACTACATCAGCACAAAATATTATTCTGGCTCTTTGGAACTGTCATCATGATCAACTTATTTGCAGTAGGTTTTATTGCTTCATTTTTGTACAATAATTCTGGTAAAAAACTGATAAATCAAGTTAGAATCTTTTTGCATGTGAATATATAAACGGGTACAAAGGATAGGAGGAAAATATCCATCCTAACAAAAAGGAATAACCAACCCATCAGAAAGTAATACAGATTCTCATCCAAGCCCATAAGAAGCAGTTTAGTGTAGGAGTCTATTAAACATGTTAAGATCACAGTTCTATTTCATTCTACCTCATACCTCTTTTAGCTCATAACCCACCAATCCAAATGCTGTCAGCATTTATTTATTTGACAACTTTTCTATTCCTACAATGGCAGTCATACTTCATAACAAGAATATTATAAACCTTTTGAAAAGTAATTCTTTGTGACTGGTGGAAAAGTGGCAACCATACTGAGGATAAGAAGCAATTTTTACAACACTTCCCCCCCCCTCCCTATAACTCACTATGCAAATTTGCTCAGAAAGGTCACTGATTTTTCAGAATAAATTTAATGGGAAGATTTAATTTTTTTTCTAGCTGTGGAGATTCTACCATTGGCTAAACTTTAAAATCATTAGCAAAAATAAAATAAAAAACTTGCCAAGGAGGTAATAATTATGCTGAAAATAAATAACAATTTAATGTTTTAATCTTTAAGTTATTTAACATCTGCTCAGGCAATTCATTCTGTAGATTAAGTATATATATCTAAAAATAAGGTATATGTAACTTAATTTACCCAGAAGCACATTTTAATTTAAAATCATCAGCTTTAATATCTACATTCTGTATCTATACAATATAGATCACTGAACTTACTTGTTTTCATTGCTGGCATCATATCGAGGCATAGGGTCAATATCATTACCATTGACATCAAAACTGGCATCTGGGTCCTGTAACCAACAGTGAAGTAAGATGGAAAAAGAAGGGACAGCAGAACCTGATTAATTAGCTATTGATTCATCTAAATTCATATATTCCTTAGCAGGTTTTTATAGGCATGTAATTAGGTTAACTAAGATTCCTGTGGTTCTGTATTGGATGCTTGTCCAAAACTAACTGTTTAATTGTATTTAGGATATAGAATTGTTCTTAAAGCATAGGTCTCAAAATCAAGCCATCATGAGAGCTAGATAAGAACGAATTCCTAATTTGAGGACTGCAAGATAGAAGTTATGCCATACATTAATATAGAATCTATTTTTAATAATTACACTTTAATTTATATTTATATGGTATATTGCACTCCCAGCAATTTCAGAAAATTTGGCCAAGGATGATTGATGCTGAGATCATTAGAAGCATTAGGATCATTTTAGAAGCATTCTAGAAGCATCAGCAATCATTCTAACATCATTAGAAAGGTGTAGGTTGACCACAATAGACAATATATCTTTTAGATGGAAGCTCATTTTCTAATAAAAATATATTTATTCCCCTTTTCTATCCACTCACCCTGGTCAGGTTTGCTCCTAGAAGCAAAAGTGGAATCAGCTCAGAAATTTGCACACATTCCACCCCAACATTTGATAGGTATCCAGCATGAGGTCATTACAGTTTATTTTTGCTTCCTTAGTGCTAATGGTAGCCCCAGTCTTTTTCCAGTTGTTGCCTTGCAGGATCAATCTTTCCTACAAAAAGCTGACATTTCTTAGAGAAAGCTGCTAAGCTTTCCCCAATACAACTCTCTAGTCCCTATTCATCTCTTCTGTTGATCCACACGGGGATGGTACATCACATTTCCTTCTCTGATTATGTTTTTTTTCTCCTTTCTTTTTGGAATATATGGACTTTTTCATATCACAGTTTTATTCTCCTAAAGCCCGAGTAAAGGAAGGTATACAAAGAGGGACACACTTTGTTCCTCTTCCCAGCTGATTTTTTGTTTTATTTTGCCAGAGAAGAGAACTCAAAAAGAGGCATCTATTTGAGGAACCCATAGCTACCAATCTAGTGAAGAGAATGTCATGGTTTTGATAGATGAGACCAATTAAAGCAGAAATCCGAGGCTTGAGTTTTTCTCTAAGAACATGTTTATTGGCTACAAAGTATCAGCACAGTCAAAAGTGAAACCAAGACTAAAGTTCCCTCCAAAAAGTAACAGCATTACAAAGTTAAACTTCCCACCCCAAAATCTATGCAAACTACTATGTTTCCCAATATAATAATTTGGCGGGCTTTCTAACATTGGGCTCAACCCCCAGTCTAATGAACAGAAATGATCTTGGTTCCCATGGGACAGAGAATTGTTTAGATTAGCATAAAACTCCCCATTCCTCCCCCAATCTTGTGGCAACTGAAAACGAGCAAGATGGCTTCAGTCAGGTTCGTTGCAGAGTTGACAGAGGCAATGTTTAGTTCTGGCAGCCTCATTGTAACTTCATCTCCACCCCTTTTGTAATGAACAAATGGGGAAGCTCAGCCATTGCTTTTCCTTTCCTCAGCAGCCAGACAGTTGCAATTCCTACAATGTAAGATATAGAATGCTGCAATGATTGCAACCTCAACTCTCTCTCTTCTTTAGCCCTATAACTTGGTGCACAACTAAACCCTGAGATGCTAATGCTGGGCATTCCAACTTGTCCACCTTTCAATGTCTCCCTAATGACTTCTCCTAGGTGTGCTGAGAGATGTGGATCAATGGAGATTCTTCGTGTTCATGATCCATGACTATCTGCCCATCCCCTCTATAGAAAGTGATCATACATGTTTGGAAGGAAAAGTTGTGAATGAGGTGCTGGGGATAAGTGAGTTCATGCCAGCTTTAGGCAGTAGCATGGCACGGATGGATAAAGCATATTCAGGCTGCAGGGAATGAAGATGAAGGAGGGTTGCATCATGCCCATGTATCGCAACTCCTGTATTTAACTACCTCTATTTATGAAAAATAATTGCCTTAATTAAAATAAATTCATGTGATTCTAATAATGCCAAGCTTCTTCATGTAAATCCTTTTCAACACATATATTTATTTCCAACGTGGATTACCTTCATTCTTGCTAAAAGACATAGCTATTTAGGTGACTCTAAGAGAACATTACTTGCCTAAAGGAAATATCTCCATGTGTTCATAAAAGGATTTGCAAACACAACTTCAATTATTAAGCCCACTTTGAAAATGATACTATACATGTATCAATTACACCTTTTCATATCTTTAATAGGTACAATGGGTGTAAAATTTGATTTTATTTTCTCCACTTTTCCTGTAGAAAACAGCTGTTTTTGATTCCAGTCAAATGATACAGCTGAATTTGTATGCATGTGCAGTTCAAGCCTGATTTGATTCATATTGATGATCTGAGATTCAAGGAGATTTGAATCTTTTATTTGAGTTTGTGATTCAATAGTTGAGGGCTAACCAATTCAGTTCAAAAGTTTGAAATTAAATTTTTACTAATGCCATCAGTTATAATGAGAAAGCATCAAAATGTCTGTAAGTGAAATATTACAACTGGCCAGATTAAAAATGTTGAGAGATGAGAAAGTGAATAAAGCACAGAGCATTCATTTCAAAAGAGTTCCAATACATACAGTATAATAAGATGATACAATTCAGTGATTAGAAAAGAGAAGAGGACGGCCAGCTGCAAACTGGCTGGAACTCAATTACAGTAGTGATGAGTGCACAGTTGGGAGACTTGAAAAAAAAAAGAGTTTAGGAATAGATCATCATGTAGAAGATATATGTGAACACTAAATGATGAAAACAACTTGATGGCACAAAATCAATCAAATTGCTCATGTCAAATGTCCAAAAGGCGATCACATTCAGCATGACCAGGTATTCAAAATTCAGGTCAAATAACTGTGGATATAATAAAAACTACAATGAAGTCATGTGCATTTTGATGTCTTTTCAAGAATGATGAAAATTAGGTCATGATGCACATGAAGTTACTTTCCCTCCCCAAGGAAACCCTTGATGTTGGATGAAATTGAAAACATTATTCTGCTGATAGATCATATCCTGTCTGTGGAAGCATTATCTTCTCACTTTGCTGCCTTCTCCATGCTCTCATATTCTACTTAAAGTGTGAATGGATTGTCTAAAACAGAATTTAAGGGTATGCGGTGGGTGTAGCGTGAGAAATAATATTTTCGCTAAATATTGTCAGAATATTCAGTTTAAAGTAGGAAGTGCAGAACAGTGTAGAATATTGCTTAATTTATCTTTAAATGTTCCCCTTCCATCTTTTTAAAGATAAGTAGCAGAAAAGAGAGGAAAAATATAACAGCTTTTAAATTAATCAGCAGAAAACCTGAGTTGCATTGAATCAATGTAGCAAATGTCCTGCTCTAAGTTAAAAATAATTTTCATGAACTGCTTACAAAACAGTTTTTCGTCTTGCTTTTTGTAGGATGACAGGCTTAGGATGACATTGAAGAATGCTCAGTGACTCGGCCTGGTGAGAGACTGTGGTTTGTTATGTATGATCATTGGATTTGTGGATATCTGGAGGATTGGTATCATTAATTGGCAAATTTGGGCTGCCCTGGAAAGGGCCCCTCATCAATTGCAGGTTGTGACCTGCAGGCATAGTTAGTTATTAAGCAGAGGCAACAGAAGTAGCTGGCATGATGAGACACATTGCCACGGAGACTGGCAAACCACGGAAAAAACAACATTCATAGCCTTGCCTTAAAAAGAGGAAAGCTTGTATTTGTCAGCTTGGTATCTGTTGAGAACCTTCTGCTTGTTCAAATCATGCAGACTTTAAAAATAAAGCTCAAGCTAAGAGAGTATATTCCAAGTGCTAAGAACTGAATTTAAAATCAGTTATGTCGCTAATATTTGCATGGACACATATAATTCCATTAGAAAAAACAAGAATGAAGCATAGTCACATTCAAGAAACAGGGAAGGAATGAGACCCAAAGCAATGCTTGTTTTGCCAGCCAATATTGTTGTGATAAAGGCAGAGTTAAATGAAGTGATAAAACTGATTATCAGTTACTTGAGTAAGTGTTGGGGAGCCTAGCACAGTGATGGCGAACCTTTTAGAGACCGAGTGCCCAAACTGCAACCCAAAATCCACTTATGCATCGTCGAGTGCCGGGTGGGTGTGGCCCATTGGCTGGATGTGGCCAATTGGGTGGGCGTGGCTGCGGTAGTAACGGCAGATTGGGTGGGATTAAAAGGTTCAATCAATCAATTCCAACTTTGCGAGATCTTTTTTTTTCCCTGCGAGAAGTTGAAATTGACTGATTGATTGAATCTAAAGCAAAAAGGTTTTATAAAACCCAGCTGAAGACCTAGGACTGGGGCGACAGCGCGCGTGCCCACAGAGAGGGTTCTGAGTGCCACCTCTGGCACCCGTGCCATAGGTTCGCCACCACTGGCCTAGCATATTACTTAAATTTCATTAGTATTCTCCATACATATAAATGAAGTTACAACACTGTGTTTTGACTATAACAAGCATGAATGCTATTCAGTTAGTTTGGACAAATCGGTTATAAACCTTTCTTGGCTTTTCCTGAAACCTCACTTGGGTCAGGGAGATGAGTCTACATGTCAATTCCACGTAGCCCAGGAGTGTCAAACTGGCAGCCCACGGGCCGGATGTGTCATGCCGAAACCGTGCTCACCCCATTGCTGGCAATGGAAAAAAAGTCAACATACGTCACGACACGTCATGTGACATTGCAAGTGTGACACCCCTGATGTAGCCCAAGCATTGTGCTTCCTGCTCCTCTTCTATTTTCTGCAAAATGCGCTTCATAACAAGAGACAACTGTGCAATTCAGCTTACATTGCATTTTTATTAGGTTGCAAGAAGCTTTAATTTCCTCCTAATTGAATGGTGTGTGTGTGGGGGGGAAGCGTGTACAGAATAAATTCTGCAACTGATCTTCTGTGCTTGGGGATTGGAAAAAGAAAAGAATGGGAGCAGGGGCTTTTAATATTTATGTTGTGGAAAAGAAGTAACTACTCAAGCAATTAAAACTAGTTGCTAGCTTATTTATTTATATAACAGCCCCAGAACTGGAGCAATGAAAAAAACCACTGATATGCTTCAAAGCCACACAGTTGAGCTTTCTGATTTAAAGAAGATCTTCTGGTTTCTGACTTCTGATTGTTTACTGAATTCTATGTGTGTCCTGGCTAATAAACTCTGGTAATGAAAGTTAACCATTCTTGGACTTAACAAATATTAAGAAAAAAACTCCTAACTTGCTGATAATTAGAATTTCTAAAAATTCTCTTATATACTTAAAACAATTTTTCTCAACAGTCTTCAATATTAGACAATAGAGTTGGGATTATTTTTTTTTGCTAAGGACTGGATGTTTTCAAGGACTGCCTACAGGAGGAATGAGTTACTCTAGGAGGGTGTTTGGCATAAATGTGACTTAAAACTTATAAGCTAATTTTTATTACAAGCATCTATGGCACCTTAAATCTATAATATTTCCCTCTTTTCTATTTTTCCTTATTTAGCTACATATACAGTATACATATAGGTATAGTGCTTGTAAAAGAAGATAGTTTCCCAGAACTAAACAATCTTTCACATTTTCTCTAGACAATTTTAGGAACCTGATGTCAAATCATTTCTAAAGCATTCATTGTAGTAAATTAGTGATGTGGTTAGCTTGACTTTGGCTTAATGTGCTATATGAACCGAAGCATTATGGTTTTTAAACCATGATTTATGCCTAAGTCTAATATGTAAACACAGCTGTTTTCTAAAAACAGCTTGATTAATGTGAGTTTAAGAGGAAAGTGTATCCTCATTAAAGGTTACAGTTAAGAATTTGATAGGCAGGATGAGATATCATAATTGAATCAGAAAATGCTAGTAATAAAAAAACTCTGATCTAAACAAAGTGCTAAAATTAAAATAAAATGTTCATTAGCAATGTGTACTAATATATCACATGATTTAGCCCTTCAAAACATTAATTGATAAATTCATGATGGAATATATATAGCTTTCTAGTAAATATGTTTTGCAGCTATATTCTAAGATACACTTAGTAGATAGATAAGAGCGGGGGTCTTCAAACTTGACTCTTTTATGACCTGTGGACTTCAACTCCCAGAATTCCTCAGCCAGGCATACTGTAGTTGAAGTCCACAAGTCATAAAAGGGCCAAGTCTGAAGACCCCTGGGTAAGAGGAATCTTAGTATTTATAAGCTTGAGAATAAATTGAAGTCAACTGGCTTATAAAACAAGACATAGCTGCACAAAATACAATATGTGCTAATAAGGGAGAGCCTGATATTAATATTAAAGAACTCAGTCTACATGGAATATAAACAACTGATCACTTCACCTGGTTGCTCATCCCTGATTTTGCTTATAGTTCAGTTGTTTAGAATTTCTTAGTAACTGCCCCAGAATATTATATGCATTATACCTTGGTCTACAGCAGGGGTGTCAAACTGCTGGCCCAGGGGCCAGATGCGTCATGCGGAAGCCATGCCCACCCCATTGCCGGCAATGGCAAAACCATCCCCATACGTTGTGCGACATCACGTGATGTTGCGAGTTTGACATGTCTGGTCTACAGATACAGTTTGATTGGATTCTTGGATTTTAACCTCTGCCTTTGAACTCAGCATCTCCACTTGTTTTCCTAAAGATTCTATGTTTTACAAATACACAGGCAAGTTTTGCATTTTATTATTGTCTTTGGATCACAGATCGGAGGCAGTTTATTATCAATTAGCAACAAGTTCTGCAGTCTGAAGCAACATGGGCACTCACATAATTCTGCATCAAGTCTGGATGGTTTCTTTCAATGCCATCATCCAAAATAGTGATCACAATATTCTTTCCAGTGTAGCCTCTCCTCCAGGCACCAACAATATTCATATCTGACTGACAAAGATGTGTATTATCACTGCAATGCTAGAGAAAGGGAAGAGAACAAAATAAGGATTGCATGTAAGTGATAAGTCACAAATGCAAGATAAAAAAACATTTTCATTAGCATAACCAAATAAATTGTCAACATATTGACTTATTAAACAGGAGATCGAAAACTAATCTCCTAATTAAGAAGCAGCAAGGTAATTTTAATGAATGGCAAATGAAAAGAAAATGATTCAAACTTATTACTTCTTTTGAGAATCCTTTTTATATGGAGAAATAGTTATTAGATAACATTTTGTTATTATATATTCCTAGAAATCATCCCAAGAGTTATAAAATGTCTTTTCTGGGTTTTCCTTACCCTTCTGGGATTGCATCTGAATTTTTTAGCACTCAACATGGCAAAACTAGACCAAATGCCTGTACAAAATAGCATGGAAATACATACACACATGCACACACATATACAAACCCACTTACAAATGCTTATGTGTGGGATATATGTGAGAGTATGGATAGAGTTATGTACTGTATAATCTATGAAATGGCTACCTAGAATCTTATATTTGCAAAAAAAAAAAGGGGGAATGGAAAAAATGTTGGCATGTTTAGTGCAGCAGCAGCAGTAAGAGATAAATCTATAACCAAAACAATTTCTGTGTAAAACTACAGCTTAAATAGCTTGTTGAGCTGAAGCTGACTATAATAGTAAAAGTTCTGAAAACTACTTTAGCTTAAATGAAAATTGAACCATTTGTATTTTATTTTGTATGGTGCTCAGTTACAAAGAAATTAACAGACAACTGTGTGCTCATTATCCACATCCTATCTCTTAACCCTGTAGAGAAAGTGACTCCTTTTAATGACTATCCCATTGAGGCTCTCAGTGGTCGTGCTTTGCTTCAGCTTCCCTGGACTCAAGGAGAATAAGCAGGAAAAGGGAGAAAAAAAATCTTAGTACTAGTATCATAGCAACACATACTAGCTACAAGAGTTCTCAGAGTTCCTTCATTCTTGTTTTCCTATCCCCTTTCGTGCTTCCACTCACAGCTCTATACAGTAGAATATGCTAGTATTTTACAATGTGTAATGGTGGCCAATAGGCCATTGGACTCCATTCTTTCTTTCCTCTCTACAATATCATGCAATCAATATGTTCAGTTATTTAATGCTTTTGCAAAATGATTATTGAAATCTGAATAACGTATACGTAACTGTATTGTATTACCGGTAATTGTTTTTTTGCCAAATTAAAAATGAGCTAACTAAATGAACTGTTTCTCTGCCTTCTCTTTCCATGAAATCTCCCAGTTCCTAAAAAAATATTATTAGAGAGGGTAAGGTATGATTTTAGAGAGAAAATATTTTAAAAGTATACATAGTTATCATATATTTTGTGAGACCAACAATTAAGACCATAGTTGTTAAGGTTCTTAAAGCCAGATTAGGTGAGACCATTGCTAAATCCATAGTTCCTGAAGGTATTAAACCACACTGTACTGAACATCTTCCTTCCTTCCTTCCTTCCCTCCCTCCTTCCTTCCTTCCTTCCTTCCTTCCTTCCTTCCTTCCTTCCTTCCTTCCTTCCTTCCTTCCTTCCTTCCTTCCCTCCCTCCCTTGAAAACAAATAGATGCAAAACTATTGAAGATGTAGTCCAATAGTTACAGAAATCTTTTCTAATAGGTATACCATGGATGTAAGCATTAAAATAAATGGATCTCTCTCTCTCTCTCTCTCTCTCTCTCTCTCTCTCTCTCTCTCTCTCTCTCTCTCTCTCTCTCTCTCTCTCTCTCATAAAGTTAAAACAATCCTTCTATATGTTCTCTTGCACCTTCATTTTTCATAGAAATTGATTTCCAAATTGATTCTAAAGAAAGAAAACCACACTCAATTTCTAATCCATGAATAGGTCTCCCATACTTTATCTTAAAGTGAAATAGGCAAAAACCTCCTTTGGTTTTTCATCCCCAAATTGGCCTTGGCTTCCAAGTTTTATTTACACTGAAAAAAAACCCTGCCTATCAGAGCTCACTAAGAAAAATGACACACTTCTGCTCTTTGCCTCAGACCAGCCCTGTGCTTTGATTTGTGGAGAAAGGTGTGAGATTATAAACTCTGTTTCCTTGAAAGGATTTGGAAACCTGCCAGAAGACAATTTCTTTTTTCTTTTGTGATGTCAGCAGGCTGTCCTTGCCTGAACCGTTTTTTTCTTCAGCAATATCTTTACTGCCACTAGTAAGCTTTCCTTAACATGCTTGCAAACAGGCAAAATACATCCAGGCTAAGTCAAATATCCATGAATCTGTTTAATATTTTTTTAAGCTTACTTTGACACAGGAAACAAGCTAATAATAATGGTCAATAATACTATCTTAGAAAATATGAGCTGGTTGACTAGCTTCACATATCTCAGTGAGCAAGGGCATACTCATATATGGAGTTTGGACCATGAAGCAAACTGGAAATTAGTGCAGCTCACGGAATAGCAGTGCAACACTGACCACTGTGGGGAACCCAAGAATTGCCAGCACAGCTACTTTTTGTTCCTCCACCTCCTCCTCCTCCTCCTCCTCCTCCTCCTCCTCCTCCTCCTCCCTCCCTCCCTCCCTCCCTCCCTTCCTTTTTTCCTTCTCCTCTGCAGGATGAAGGCTTCTTCTGCATGTTTCCAACCAATACGGTCCTGCAATGCTTGCAGATGTCGTCAATCCATCTCGTTTTACGTTTTTTATCAAGTGGGATCCGTTCGATTACTGCCTGGATCCATCTGCCATCTGTTCTTCTTGCTATGTGACCAGTCCATTTCCATTTCAATTCTTTTACTCTCATGATGATATCATATACTTTTGTTTGTTCTCTAATCCATGTGCAGGTCTTTCTATTTTGTCTTGTGATGCTGAACATGTATCTTTCCATGGCTCTTTATGCCAATCGTAGCTTTTGTATCAATTGTGAGGAGTGTTTGTTAAATTCTGAGGCATTAGTGATTTTGGCAACTTTAGGTTGGGGGTGCAATTTCTTTACACCTTTTTTCGTTAACACTAGAGTTGGTGTCAAATTATCCAGATCAGCTTTGAGATGAAAGTAATAAAAGCTGTTTTAGGTTAACCAGTGTTTGCATGATGGTTAATTTTCCATGATCTGTTAATTTCTTGAGAGTTATGAAAAAGCAGTTCTCTCCAAGGTTTCTTCTGGTTAGGTGTTCTTTAATTGAGACTTGCTTATTCAAGCTTCAGGGTTGCCTTTTCAATAGGGGAAGTACTCTGCAGTTGATCTGTAGTTACACATCTTGGTTCTGTGCCAGCTTACAGAACTAGGAAGCCAAGCTTGACAAACATGTCAGGAAATATTCATTTTGGACAATTTTGGCATAGAACAAGATGCTTCTTTATTTTAAGTAATATAAGCAAGATAATTAAAATGAGGGTTTTTAATGCAATTCTGCAGCTGCCCTGAAGAGCAGGAAATCAGTCTATATTGCTTTGAGATCCACCTGGCATGAACAAAAATTGGGTCAAAAAGAAAGTGGCTGATTTGGGTGAAGTCTGTCTACACTTGTTCTTTGTTGCTAACAATAAGAAATTTATCTGTTTGAAGTATATATGAGGATGTAAGACTCATCTTAAGAGATATAGTAAGATTCTGAGTACTGGTTGATGAAATTGTTCTGGCTTTTCTAGGTGCATCCTGGCTGGCGTTCATGATGCCTTATAGAGACTGAGACAGAGGATAGATGTAAAGCTCTAAGTGGCACATCAGTTTTTAAATTGATGGAATAATTCTGTCAATAATTCTATCAATTCTATCAGTGTTTCAACCTGAAATAGAGCTGCTGAGAAAGTTTGATATCAATCTGGTTTTCCATAGCTATTTGGATGCCCAAACAGATATGAAACTTTTGTGTAGGGAGGAAGAAGTAACTCACAATCAAATAGTGGGAATCCAGGTCCAATTTCAGCAGAGTTGAGGAGGTCAAAACAATGACTTAAAGCAGTCAAATTCCAATGTCACGTGACATGTCATGATGTATCATGACTTTTTTTCCATTGCCAGCAATGGGGTGGATGCGGTTTCCGCATGACGCATCCAGCCCGTGGGCCGACAGTTTGACACCCCTGACAGAGAATTGCCTCTGCTTACTGCAATTACTGTGTTGGTCTCCAAAGGAAGAATTCGTTCATTGATCTTCAGTTGTTGGATCTGAATTTGATTACCTGAATTTGATTCTGTCAGTCTTCTATCTGTCTGTCATCATTTGGCTTATTTAAGATGTTTTTGTACTTCTTAAAAAAATATTCTACAAGAAATTAAATCTTTCTACACTTCCAGCCATCAGAATGATATCATCGGCACTTCTCAGTAATTTTAATTCCAATCTGATCCCTAATCCAGCATTTCTCTGGATATTTTCTGCATATGTTAAATGAAGATAACTTGGTATACTTCTTTCTTCATTTTGAACAATTTACTTGCTCCATATTTTGTTCCAACATTTTGGTCATCATTAACAGACATATCAGGTATCTTGATGTTCTGTCCCAGCCTACGTGAATACTGCTCAACTGCTTACTCACGAGGAAAAACCCTTTTGTACTGAACAAGGAAGGACTTGATAAGATAAACCCCTTTTCTTTTGGCACAGCTTTTATGGAACAAAACTCCAACCAGTCCTTTTGCTGTTGAAATGAACAAGATCAGTCTGAGTTCTCAGCTGGAATGCTCAAGGTTTAAGTCACTCAAACAGACATAAAGCTGACAAACATGGTTAAATATCCAAGAATCCTGAGGCAAGACAGAAGCACAAAGACGTAGCATGAACGGTTGTATTTAGCAACCAGCCCCTCCCACACCTCTCCTCTTTATAGTCCAGCCAGGGCGTGGTTTCTTAGTGTCTTTTGCTTTCCTGGAGAGCTGCCCCACCACCCTCCGCTGTCCTGCACGCCTTTCCTCCCTGCACATCCGTGCATCTGGAACAGGCCCCAGCTGCTCCTCATCTTCACTCAGTTCAGGCCCCCAATCCAGCTGTCTCTCTGCCTGA